CACATCGAGAGCCTTTCTAGCTGCTCTCACTTAAGAAAGGTTTCCCTGAACGCTGGCGACCTGTAGGTAGTCTGCTCATGCTGTAGAGGCAAGGTAGATAACATCGCTACTTTTATGCAGCATCATATAAACAAGGTGGCAGTATAGTGTAGAATATACAAACTTTGGCTGCATTGGTGTTGGATGCATTGACCTAGGCCTCCATCTTGAAGCAGATAGAATGCTAATATCTGAATGTGACACTGTCTTAGACCCTGACTCAAGACACTCGAATGATCTACATTTTCCAATCAGCTTAAAGACAACCAAACTTATGTCTTGCATAATCCGCACTTTCCACAAACTTGATTCTAGGCTGATGCTACATTATGCTTGTGGTTGCCCAGTGTTCGGATATTGTCCGTTTATATCCAGTAGCTTTCAGGTGATTGACTTGTTTAAAATCAAAAGAATATATAGATACTTAACAAAGAGGAATTTTGACATGGATTGTGATCACAAATACTTTATACAGCGTGAAACAGTGGGGCTACAACTCCTTTTCAAAAGATCAGCTAAGCGTAGTGTTGCATATTACTACATGCTCGGACACCAATTTCTCACATCATTTAAGCATGCTGACATTGCATTTTGAAAATAACCGTCAGTTAGGTGGGTGCAAATATGTTTCTAGCGCACGTGATCGCCTGGTACCGGCCACAGCTATCCGGATCTGGTACAATTCATGACAGATGCATCAGTTTCCTTTACATTTGATATTGTAGCCTGGAGTCGAGTCGCGATTGACTATGAGCACCACTACAAGAAGACTACGTGCCAGTTAACCAATAAGATCCCTGTAGGCCAATATCAGAAGGCAGATGATGGCTGTAGTCGAGATGTATTTGCTGGCGATCTCGTGGTATCGAAAAAATACCGAGATCGTGCCAAAGGAGTAGAAGCGTAGTTACTAGGCGTAACTGAATTCGTGCAAGTTTAAACTCAACGGGAGAGAGAGTAATGGCTGTCATTAGCACAGTTAAACAAACAAGTACAGTAAGACAATCACTGGTACAATCGGTTATAATAATAATTGTTTTCATTGAACCAATCGCGTTCTGTTGACAAAAGTAGGTCACTACAATATTATAAATACACAAGCATAAATTATTCATAATAGTTTATTTCGAACGTACTTTCATGACGTTTTTACAGCCATAATCAATAACCTGTCATAGTAGGGTTTCTACAAAGGTTAGATCGGCAACATTATGTAGCTGCATACTCCTGAAGACTTATTAACTAGGTAAATCTGATATAACTGTACTATCAGTTTACAGTTTTTTTCAACCTGTGACCTGAACAAACATACATATGTTCCATGCTTGAGTCAAAGCTTCATTGTTGTTTGCTGCAATTGCAGTGCTACGAAAAAGGAAAGACAAAAATGCCGAAGCTTTAATGACTATGAGTGGTTGACAAAATCTGACTGTGTGCATCTGGACAAATCAAGGTATGTATAAATAAAGGCTGAAACTTAAACTAGCTACTTCCGCTAGAATGAACCATCATTAATGAAAGAACAGACAAATTACAGAAACTCAATACAGTGCATGATAAGGCGTAACAAAATAGAACAGGTTCGAACTAACTTAAGGAGTTAAGTGTAAATCAAATGTGTATCTGCTGGTTTCAAACGTGTTTTGTTCACGGCTAACTTTATCATCACATCCTATTTTTATTTGTGACTCTTTTCATAACCAGTATCATCAGGTGTCAAACTTGCGGCACCAGCTTAAGATTCAGAACTTGCATAGAGTAGGTCGTCTTGGCAGACCACTAAAGTCAGCTTCAGGGTGAAAACACGAAGTAGAGAACTAACAAGCATAAGAGAACAATGTCAATATCATTAAATAATTGCTGCAATTCCATTTTAAAGAGCCTGAAAAGGATGAAATGTTTTTCTTTACCAACGTGAGAATATCGGAGCATCCTTCTCACCATAAATTTTGCCCGGCCGGTAAATTCACACTCCCTACCATTTTTTGATGTTACGCTCTTTTAAGGTGATGGTTAGGTTACATTTATGTTACACCTCAAACTTTGTGGTATTCTGTTAAAAACGTTGTTTTTACGAGTAGTATATCACAAGCACATCGAGGAGTTGAGGTTTATGGATCTATAAAAGAAGACGATTAAGTTACTCGAATACTATCGGTTCCCTTCGAAACCCAACACATCAACCGTCGGCGATTAGCACAGAAGACGGAATTGCAGGTCACTTGATATTTGTGGCAAAACAAGCAACTCAAAACTGATGCAAAAGTTGTCACTATAGTAGCTAAATATGACCTTCAAGCATGTGACAGTTTGGCAAACTAGAAAACAGGATGGCCAATCAGGGAACTGTAGGCGATGGCTGATTGATTTTGATGATTTCAGCACATATACAAGTGAGGCAGATATTTTGCTGACAGTTTATATCACGGATTGATATTAGCCCGACAACCACCGAAAACCATACTCCTGAATCTAGGGTATTTCAATCGCCCTAGAGTCAATTTCGCGGAACATACGTATATTGGAGGTGAAAAATCAATTGAAGCTCGGTTCTTCAACCTCATTGAGGATCTGCGATTATTCGGAAATGTGAAGTCGTCAACTCGTTGGAGGAACAGTCAGACACCGTCGCGCTTAGACTGCGTATTTACGAACGAAAAATTTGTAGTTGACAACCTCTCAATTCTGTTTCTCCTGGGGAAAAGAGATCACGCCGCTATAGCCTTCAGTTTCGCCAGCAAAACTGAGCTAAGATATCCCAACAACAACAGGCGCTGCAATTTCAAAAGGTTGAATGTGTCAACTCTACAGGACTATCTACAACAAGTGGATTAGGATGTTCACCCTCAACTTGATGTAGATGCTTATCGGAACTTCCTACTGCGCACGCTCTTATGTGCTACAAAGCAGTCAGTCCCTCAAACAAACCCCAAAAGCCACATGCAACCTACACTCATCAAAAACCGCACTCTTCGTTGTTAAGCCATAAAAGGCACTGTTGGGCAGAATACAAACTAACCGACAACAACAGAGCGTACAGGCAATACAAACATATCAGGAACATATGCATGAAGGCTACAAGAGAAGACAGGCTTCCGTACCGGTTAAAGCTTATGGATAATTTTATTTCCAATCCGAAAAGCTTATTCCGTTACGCAGCCTCTCTTTGACAAGCCGAAACTGGAGTTTCTCAACTGCTAGGTCCTAACTGCCCGATCGATAATGACGGTGACGCCGCTAACCTTTTGGCTGAGCAATACACCCGGACATTTCAACCGACCCACATCTGCAACTTCACAGGACTTTCCGTAGCGAAACTGAGCGCTTACTTGATGCTCCGAAAGCTACAGCATCTGAGAACAGACACTTCTCCCGGCCCAGATATGGTCCATTCTGTTATACTTAGGGAATCAGCTTCAATCTTGGCAACACCGCTTAGCGTGATGTTCTAGCACTCGCTAAGTCGAGGTAAACTACCGGAAAATTGGAAGCTGGCTCATATCACACCAATCTTCAAAGAAGGTCGACGCAGCGAACCTTCAATTTACCGACTGGTGGCTCTTCTCTCTATATTTTCAAAGATCATGGAGTCCCTGTTATACGATGGTATACACGACTATCCGCTGTCCTTAAATTTCTTCTCGCCCCAACGACTTGAACGATTGGATATCAGACCACCACTAATTGATTGACTTATTTCATATCTGAAAAATCGACATTTTAAGGTCAGGGTTAACTTCACTTTAAATAAGGCAATGGAATGTCCCAGTGGGGTCCCCCAGGACTCTTTACTAAGACCTCTTCTTTTCGTGATTTATATAAATAATCTTCCTTAACAGGTGTCATCGAATTTATTACTTTTTGCCGATGACGTGAAGCTTTGGAGAAAGAGAGATACGCAACCAAGACCATATACAGGCACTTCAGGATGATCTGACTCGACTTCAAAGTTGGGCAGATGATAGCCGACTTACCTTTAACACTTTAATGCGTAAAGTAGTCTATCTGCGACATGTCACAGACTACAGTTACAACTTAGGAAACTCCTCTCTAATAGTATCTCGAGTCGAAAAGGTTTTAGGAGTCCTGGTGACATCGACTTAAAGTCTTACGCTAACTGTGACAGAAATGCCTTTCGAACAAACCTTGCACTGGTAACATTGAAGCGCATTTTGGCCAGTTTGACTGAAGAACCTCCGATATAATTTTTAACAGTTTTATTTGTCCACATTTAGAGTACGGAAAAATAGCATTTCCTCCCTCACTCCAAAAGGATAAGGACACTGGAACGTATCCAACGGCGAGCCGCGAAATCAGTTCGTGGACTCAAATTTAGACCTTACGAAGAGCGCCTCCAATCATTTTACCTTTACCAATTAGAGTATAGGCGTCTTAGAGGTGACCTTCTAATGGCTTACAGTATCCTTAACACTCCAGGACATCCTCTTAAACACCTACTTAAGCTTAGTCCCATTACTAACCTAAGGGGTAACACCCAGAAATTAGAGATATAACATAGTAGAACGGACTGCAGGCACAACTTCTACTCCTTAAGAGTTGTCAAATGCTGGAATTTGCTGCCAGCTGAGCTAGTCCGAGCAACTTCCCAGGAGTCCTTTAAGAGGCGACTTGATCTATTCTTAAGGACTAAGGATAGTATCTTACTATGATTTACCAATTACCGTTTCCTCTTTTATCGTTAATATGCCTAGGTTTCTGCCCCTGCTACTAGACACGGAAGCCTGTTAAGCGAAATTTTCTTCTATTCCGTCCACAACCATTTGAACCAACCAATCATAGTCTAACTGATCTCTCACTTTCCTTCACAACTTAGTTTGACTCAATAGAGCTAAAAGTAACTTGTGAGAAGGAAATTTTTCAAAAATTAGGAATCCCGCCATATAACACTTGAGACCGTACGTTTAAATACTGAAACATTCCCAGTTTGTCCTTGAGACATTGACCCTGAAGAGTCCACGCGCCACGTAAGTTGACCTACTTAGAGGTCCGTGCGGACTTCTTGTATTTACAGTTGCTTGGCTTCCCATTAACGGTGTACTATCTATAAAGCCTTTCCAACCATTTTATAAGCAATTATTAGCTATCTTTATCGTTTCACATAGACTGATGACAAATTCATATTAGGGTAAGCCCAACCTAACTGAATTGTTCATGTTATAGGAATTATAAACTTTGGAGCTAGCTCCTGTAGAGCTTCTATATCACTTCGGATCTTATTATCACACAAGCATAAAGCAAAATTCTCAGGTATAATGATCCATCGCCCAATCTCCAGACCATGCATGCCCAGACCAAAACAGTTTAGTGATGTAAAGCACATCTCCGTTACCAGATCCTAAGTTGTCTAATTTCATGTACAGGATTTCTGATGTCACTAAGCTATGTAAGCTTTTCAATCATAACGTATCAACTCTAAAACTTTTTAAACGTTTAGTTTTAGTTCCCATAAAATATGTTTGTTAATGGTTTTTTTCATTTTTCTTCAGTAACTCGGCCGGTCACTAAATTTGTACTGGTATCAACAAATAGGTGCCCTCACCAACTGCTCTTTACGTCTAACATGTGGTTTAGAGATGTATATGATATCGCATTAGGTTTGGGGAACTTCGTCCCACAATATTTATGCATATTCCTATCAACATTGCTTGTTTTGACACCTTTTTCTCCTGTTGATGCTGTTCAGGAATTCACCGTTTATCGCGCCCAACAGTACGATTTCCAGGGTGTTCGTATTGGTATGTTTCTTTTTCACTTGTAAATGACACAGCTTTCTAGGTAGTCGATTGTCGTCTGTAAATTGTGAAGCCCAAACACAAAGCAATAAAATTGTTGGTCGAAACTGCCTTCTTTTACGGTTAGCAGAAGTGACAGTAGATATTATCAAAGATGCCATTTACCACAAAGTTGCTGGAATTATAATTATTCTACCATCCCATCCGTGGTCACAGGCATTAATAAATGTAACATAACCTATTCAACATTTTCTCAGCATTTTATCCATGTAGAAAAGGAGTTATTAACTGATGAATTTCAAATCCCTATCTACTTTACTTTTAACAGTTCATCAGTACAGGAAGTATTTGAACAGGTTAGTCAACTCACTAGGTCCAATACACAGAACTCAGGGTTATCTGGTAAGTTCTATTAATATTGCTTTATTTTCAGCCTTAACTCAAGCAATATCGTCAACTGGGTACCGATTGTTAACTGGATCACCAGTACCAAAACCTATAGCTGATAATTATGTGTTAAATATAGAGGTAACAACATTTTTGTTAAACTTAATCCTTAGGGTCGTCTTGGGAAAGAGAGTGCTAAGTCCACTATTATTATTTGTGCACATTATGATGCAATTTCAGCAATCCCTGTAAGTTTGGCATTGCTGTAAATTGTCAAATGTTGAATTAATGTGACGGTGTCCTAACTTTGAATATTCACTAGTGTTTTCTCTTAGTAGTCCTACTGTACACTAGGAAGGTTGCAAAATAAGCCTACGGCCGAATATATATATATATATATATATATATATATATATATATATATATATATATATATATATATATATATATATATAATGTTAATAACATTACTGTGTCGACTGAAATTCTTTCTGACCCAAGAGTTACTTGAAATAGATGAAGTTCCATTCAGAAATCCTAGTACATACTAGTCACTTTGTTTCCTCCATGTCCCATGCAACTAAAATAGGTTAACTTTTACTCATATTTTACTGCACAACGTGGAACGTATGCACTTGTACTCATTATACAAATTATTTGGTATAATTTAAATCTTTCAGCTTAGCTTTTAAAATACTAATCTTGGATACGATGTAATTCTTCTGAACCTTATCATCTCAGTTAAAGGTTACATCGTATTTAAATTGAAATCTGCTGATTAATTCTGGCAGAATCTTCAACAGGTTACAAAATTACGTAATATCTCAGAAATCATTTAACTTGTCTATATTACCGTAACTTTAATCCTGAGATCATATCTCCAGTGTTTTAATATTATATGTTACAGAGTTTGGCTTATGGAGCCGATGCAAATGGTAGTGGTGTGGTTATCTTACTGGAACTTGCTCGTCTAATATCACGTCTCTACGCAAATGAAGCTAATAAATTGCCGTAAGTGTTTTAAAAAATCACAATTTGATTGGATGTTTAAAAAAATTTATTTGTCATATCATACAATCGATTTTGAGGGTTCTCTATAGTGACATAGGTGAGACTATAATTTATGAAGGACCTTTGAGTGACGCTAAAGTGGCCTTGAGAGTGTTCGCTCAACGACTAGGACTAAATGAGAGTTATTAACCAGTATGAGGAATTAGAACTATGATTTATAGTTGATAGTTAGGGTTAGGAATTAGATTTAGGGTTTTCATCACGAACTGACATCAGCCATAATGCTAAAACTCTATTTAGCGAAATTGATGAGTGGATTTCGCGCCAAAATCCAAGACCTGTTATGTTATACCTGATTAGTTCATCCATAAATTATAGACTCGCCGTGACATAATTTCTTATTGAATGGACTTTCTATTACATAAAAGTATAGTATAAAAGAATGATTGTTTTTCTCAGTGACTTATATAATCTGAACATCATGCGAATAGCCTCGTTATTTGATGCCCTGAAAACAAGATTCATTATCCAGACATTCTACAAACCGAAGCAAGTGGTTTTCTCAAGGAGCCACACTTGGACCCTTAAACCTAGAAGTCTGATCCACAAGGCAGTGGAGCAACATAAAAAGATGCAATGCCATGGTAGCCATTGACGAACAATTGATACACACGCCATTTATTCCTTCAAGATCTTGAAGACTATGTGCACCATTGGTTTGGAATCAGGGTTTCCCAACACAACCTAGGTAAACCCTCTCTGTCCACCAACCTCGTTAAAGTGCCGGCTATTCACTCTTCGTCCTCTCCATTCCGTAAACAACAGTAGTGCGGCGAGAAGGCAATGAGTAGGATTTCTCTGACAGTGGCTGCATGTGTATGGCCATATAAAAGCGTTTCGAGAAGGAAAGCTGATTCTCCCCATCCTTGACTTTACCAGGATCCCCCCAAATGCCCTGGTATGGCCGAGAGCGGGGAGGGTTCGCCCTCCCTCTCGAAATACTCTCACACGGCCACGCGTATACAGCCTCTGCCAGGGAAGTCCTACTCACTGCCTTCTCGTGGCGGGGGTGTTGTTTACGAAAATGAGAGGACGAAAAGCGAACGTCCGGCGCTATAACCGGATCCCAATTCTATGGTGCACATGGGCTCCAGTATCCTGCGGGAACAAATGGCGTATGAACCAACTTTTGGTCACCGGCTTCCATGGGACTGCATCTCCTCACGATGCTCCACTGCCTTGTGGACTAGACCTTTAGGTCAAAGGCTCGGGGTGTGGCCCCCTAAGTAAACCACCTGCTTCGGTCTGGGCACCCGGGCAGTATCCCAGCCCACTCACTAAAACTATGATGAACTATATGCTTATAGAAAGTATTCGTTTCTCTCCAACTAACATTGAAATGACTGGTATTATTATTATTATTATTACTACTATTATTATTATTGTTATTATTATTATTATTTACTACGTCATTTATTCACTATCTCCTATTTCTACTTTTTGTATCCGCTTCGACTCAGACAGCAGCTCGCCTATGGTGAAAATTCAGCTTTATCTAAACGTTCTCGAGTCACTGCCTGGTTGAAAATTGTATGTTACTACCGCATATGAGTACTGAAGCAGTTTTTCTGAAACCACGTGCACCATTCAAACTGGCTGCCTTCAACGTTCGCACACTTATGCAGGTCGGACAACAGATAGGGCTGGCTATGTCTTTGGAAAGTCTTAATATTGATGTGTGTTGTCTATCCGAGACCCGTATTCAAGACTCTGGTGAAGTACTACAAGTTCGCTCTCCATCTGTCACTTCAAAAAGCTTGTTTCATGTGCGTTTGTCCGGGGACCCTGTGGCATCTTCGTCTGGTCTTGCTGGCGTTGGTGTCGCACTAAGCGCAAGAGCTGAGGCAGCACTAGTTGACTGGATCCCCATTAACAGTCGGTTATGTGCTGTTAGATTAGAAAGTTCCATCAAAGTGAGAAGAAATCGGCGTGAGAAACGATGTCTTTTTGTCATCTCCGCCTATGCCCCGACAGATTGCAGCCCGGATGCAATCAAGGACGAGTTCTACCATCAGCTAACTGTTCTTCTCCAGAAAGTGCGTTCGACAGATATTGTAGTACTAGCTGGAGACTTGAATGCTCAGGTCGGGCGTCTAGGCACAGAAGAGAGTCGTTTAGGTGGCCGATGGGGACTCGTTGGTCGCAGGACAGATAACGGGGAACGTCTACTGCAACTATGCACAGACCACAACCTGTTTCTGGCTAGCACTAACTTTCGGCACAGTCATCGCCGATGTGCCACCTGGCGTCCCCCTTCTGCATCTCAAGCCTGGACTCAGATTGATCACATCGCGATCAGCTACCGCTGGCGCGGTTGTGTACAAGACTGCCGCTCCTTTTGGAGTACCTATCTGGAATCTGATCATGCTCTGGTCTGCGCCAATCTTACCTTACTTTTCAGTGGACAACGAAGTGACCGCCACCAAAGGATTGATGTTAGCAAGCTGGCTGCAACTTCTGTTGCTAGTAAGTACCGAACCGAGCTAGCTTCCAGGCTAGCTAGCATTCCACCGAAAAGTATAGATGAGCATTGGTTGCAATTGCATGACGCCATGAAAATGGCGGGTCAAGTCTGTTGTGGGTCTGCGAAACGTCCCGCTTACAAGCACTGGGTTTCTTCTGGTTCCTTACAACTGATTGAAGCCCGTCGGTCTACTCCGGGTGACCGTGAGTTTGACCACAGACGAAGGATGTTACGTAATGAAATCGGGCAAAGCTTGCGTAAGGACCGAGAAGCCTGGTGGTCGGAGCGTGCCAGTGAGTTGGAAGCAGCAGCTGCATCTGGTAATTACCAGAAGCTCTTCCAACTCATCCGAGCCACTGGCAGCAAGAAGTTTGGTGTGAGCGAAACAATCTGCGAGGATGACGGAACGCCAATCACTAACATCCATCGACGTCTTGGACGATGGGCAGAATTCTTTGAAGGGCAGTTCAACTGGCCTGCTGCTCCGGCAACATCGGTCAGACTGTCCTGCCCTCCATGGCCGGTGACGACTGATCCACCAAATGAGACGGAAGTCCGCAAGGAACTCCAACTCTTGAAACGTTACAAATCACCGGGCCCAGATGACTTACCTCCGGCTCTTTTTTAAAGATGGTGGTGACTTTCTGACTAAGGGACTGACGACGTTGTTTACAAAGATCTGGGAACTAGAGAGTGTACCAACGTCATGAAATGAGTCGATAGTTGTCCCTATCTTTAAAAAGGGTTCACGTTGTTCCTGTAACAACTATCGGGGGATAAGTCTACTTCCGATTGCGTCCAAGCTATTGGCTTCCGTCATACTTCGTAGGTTGTTCAGAACCCGAGAAGGATTGACTCACAAGGGGCAGGCTGGGTTTCGTTCTGGTCGAGGATGTATTGATCATATCTTCACCCTCCGCCAAGTGTTAGAACACCGCCATACTTATCAAAGGCCAACAATCGTAGTGTTTCTTGATATCAGGGCCGCCTTCGATTCGTTGGACAGAACTGTTCTCTGGGATTGTCTATTGAAGAAGGGTGTGCCTGAGAAGTTTATTAACATCCTAAAGGCTTTATATACAAACACCTCAGGCAGAGTGAGGGCATACAACCACCTTTCTCCACTATTCCATTCGAGCAGTGGGGTTAGGCAGGGTTGCCCAATCTCACCATTCCTCTTCAACTTTGCCATCGATGACATTCTGGAAACAGCTCTGACGGATGTAAGTAATGGTGGTGTGGATCTGTTGCCTGGAGAAAGACTTCTCGACCTTGAGTATGCGGATGATATTGTCTTACTGTGCGAGAATGCCCAAGCCATGCAATCCGCACTTAATCAGTTGGCAATCAGTGTCCGTAGGTATGGTATGTGCTTTGCACCTTCGAAGTGCAAAGTACTTCTACAAGACTGGCAGGATTCTAATCCTGTACTCACTCTGGATGGTGAGCAGATTGAAGTAGTTGAGAAGTTCGTGTATCTAGGTAGCTGCATAAGTGCTGGTAGTGGCATGAGTGATGAGATCAATGCACGTATAGTGAAAGCCAGAGCGGCTTATGCCAATCTGGGCCATCTTTGGCGCCTTCGTGATGTTAGTCTGGCTGTAAAAGGTCGGATCTACAACGCGACGGTGAGAGCAGTTTTGCTCTATGCTTGTGAAACCTGGCCTCTCCGAGTTGAGGATGTTAGACGACTCTCTGTGTTCGATCATCGTTGTCTCCGAAGGATTGCTGGCATCCAGTGGCAACACCATGTCAGTAATGCAGAGGTTCGGCATAGAGTGTTCGGTCACAGAGACGATAATGAAATTGATGTCACCATCTTGAAACACCGACTTCGGTGGCTTGGACATGTTTTACGAATGTCGTCCCAGAGAATTCCACGTCGTGCATTATTTGCCGACTCTGGGACTGGTTGGAAAAAGCGGAGAGGTGGTCAGTATATGACATGATGTCGTGGTATGAAAGAAAGCTGCAAAGGGCTAGCTTCTGTTGGTCCTTCACGACTCCCTGGTTGGGGTCCGAGAGACGGTGTAACGCAGTGGCTAGAGACGTTATCAGATATGGCTCAGAATAGAAGCCAGTGGCGATCGTGCTGTAACCTTCTTTTACTTTCTTCATAAAAAGTGGTTGTATCTTCCTTAACTGAAAGATCTCTTCTGATTGTACCTTTCCGTTTCCCCCACCATTGTTCTCTCTCTCTTCCTTTTTTTTTATAATTCCCCACGTCCATTACTTTTTTTTTCTCTTTTCTCCTTCTCTTCAAATTATCATTGTTTTGTGTAGCGCATATATATTTGGTGCCCCCCTGTACCAATATTTATGTGTTCAAATAAATAATAATAATAATAGGATCCGTTTAACATTATCACTTTCACTGTTTTGATTAAAAAAATTTCAAACATTCTTAGTACATTACTAAGGTATTTCTTTCATAAATCTTATGCCGTTTAAGGTAAGATTCAGTTGTTTCCAGTTTTTTATGCAAAAACTTAAAAGAAGTTTCTTCGACTGTTTTTAGCTCATCTCTATACTGAGTACTTTCAATTCTTCTTATTCAGCTATCAAATTGTTTTCCTTTTAACTGGTGGTGGAAAATTCAATTTTGTGGGTTCCAAACGATGGCTTGATCAAAATATTGAAGATTCTGTTGGCTTAAGTATGTTGCTCAGTATTAGTGTAAAAGTGTTAATTGATACTCGTCTATGTTTTTTTGAAATGATTTTTCTACTACTATTATTACACTTTTAAGAAAATCTTACAGTAGACTTGGTCTTAATAATCCCTTTATCATGTACATATCCATGTACTTGACTTTGATTCGTCCTCTCAATGTGAGGATCCGGTATGTAAGATCTATCTTTCGTAACCGATTTAAGGGAAGTGGGGTGGGGTCCGAATATATGATTCGGTGGTTGAATGTTGAAATTCTTAATCACTAAACCTTTACTACACCCTTGGAAGTTCATAAAATCAACATTAGTAGTTAATATCTGCGATTTAAAAGGTTAGTTTCTTTTTGTAGGTGATCAGTATTTCCTCTCAAGAAAGCTATGTTTTCTATTCTTTAGCAGGTTCGATATTATTTTTATCTGTCTGTACTAAGTTATACAAATTAAGCATCTCATACATTTCGTACCATAATAGATTAAGGAATTTAGCTAAGTTTCAATATGACCATCATTATAAGTGGATACTGGTTATACGACTATTGGAAAAAGCAAAGTGTTGTGTTTAGGAGTTATTAGCATTCAAATGTAGTACCTATGTTTCGTCCTACTTGGAACTCATACTTCATCCTAGTGTTGATGTTTTATAATGAAACTCAAACCCCATTACCTATCACTCCAATTAGTTATCCATTAAGCTATTGAGTCATAACACCCCACCACCTTGTCTAACATATATGATTCACATTAGTATTTGCAGAAGCTTGATATTTTTGCGATATTGATATTCAAGACCACATTGGTTTAGCTTATGAGTGTAAAATAGACAATCTCAAATCTACTACTGACTGCTAGTTAAAATATAATAAAATTGTGGTTATATACGCAATATCATATATAAGATTCATTCAAGGAGTCTATATGCTAACCGAAACTGATCAGATAAATACACTTGTGAAAAATATTCTACTATTATGGGACTGCATATCCTTTAGTTGCTCCACTGCCTTGTGTATCAGATCTTTATATTAAAGGCTTCGAGTGTGACCCCCTAAGAAAACCGCCTGCTTCAGTTTGAGCAGTATCCCAGCCCTCACATAAATCGAATGATTTATGTGGTGTATATCTATTTGATGCCTCCTTGTATCAATGTTTATCTGTTTACAATATTGCATTAATAACTGTTTCACTAGTAATATGTTTAGTTCAGAAATTTCTTCATTGTATTTTTTAAATATATGTATATTCCAGCTCTTTTGGATTCTGTTGCACAAGTGATCTGTTTGGAAGGTTTAGGTTCACCGAATTTTGGTCAAAATATTTATGCACATGTATCTAAGCCACCAAAAGAAGGTTCATTTTTATATCATTTTCTTAAAGCTTTAAATATGGCCAGTCAGTTACATTCATTTCCAAATGAGGTAAATTTACTCTTATAATACGTATGCATATATATATATATATATATATATATATATATATATATATATATATATTTCAGTGATTCATTTTCCCAGTATAATACTAATACATGGAGAGTCCACCTAGGGGAGTTGGAAAACCCTGATTTCAAACCAAAGGTGCACATGGGCTCCAGGATCTTGAGGGAACAAATGGTGTACGAACCAATTATTGGTCACCGGCTTCCATGGGACTGCATCTCCTGACGTTGCTCCACTGCCTTTCGGATTAGACATTTAGGTCGAAGGTTCCGGGTGTGGCCCCCTAAGAAAACCACCTGCTTCAGTTTGGGCGCCCGAGCACTATCACAGCCCTCACACAAATCAAGTGAGATTTGTGTAGCGCATAAATATTTGGTGCTTCCTTGCACCAATATCTATGTGTTCTAATAATAATAATAAAAGATTAACAACTTATTCATTTAAACTAATCAGTCAGTCATAAGCAACATAAGTCCGGGCACAAATGTCTGTCAGCTAAAATTGCTACATTATAGTTGACGAAGTAATTTCATCGCGAGTCCAAGTGCTGTTAGAATTATGTGGAAGGGTATCACCTCCCGATTGTCCACACCATTGACAGGCATCTATCCTTAAAAGACCTGAAAAAAACTGGATTATTAATGGTCTTGATGACTATAAAACCCAAGAAACAATTCCTTAAACTTTGTCTCACACTGTCTTATTGTGAATCGTTTTTAATCTCTCAACTCTGTATTGTTCATGCCTTTCGGTAACTGTAGTGTACTACTTTTAGGTTCGACATTTTCTAGTCCTCCCATCTCATTGTTGGAAAGCAGCATCAGATGTTCAGTTACTGGTGCTTGCAGTTTTACCACACTCCAGCTAACTTGCCTAGCATGGATGAACTTCATCGAATGAATATTCTAGTCATTGTGATTATTTGTTTGTTTGAAAATCGTAGGATAATTTATGTTGGTCAATCTATTCTGTGTCGTTTGTATGAAAAGTATATATCATCATACTTGAGTCAGTTCGTAAATCTCTCCTCTCCGACCGTACAAATTCAAAATAAAACTGCCAAATAATTTTTTTATGAAATTCAAACTTATTACCACATTACATCTACCTGATTTCTTTAACATACTTATTCCGGTTAGTGTTTTTATAGCAAGGTTGTTTTGTATGGGTTAGAGTTGTTGACCCCGTGCCCAAACTTCATCGTTTACCCGGGCTTCGAACTGTCAGTAACCCTAGAAGAAGAACTACAGATAGAGTTTTCTTTAACCAACCACAGACTGCCCCGAAGTGCGATGTTTTATGGTATAGGAGTAGGTTGGAAGAAAGCTATGAACGACCAGACCAAAACATGACACAAATCCATGAAGTCACTGAAAAGTGGACTGAGCCATGTTGATAGGTGTAGACTAACTGGATGGGATCTGCGAGACGATAGCAACCGATGATCAGAGACCTAGAATGGCATGGATCAAATCGTTTGCAAGGGCGCAGGTGCATCCACTCTTTATGTTCTTCTGAATTCTTCATGTCCCCATTTTTTGTCTCTTTCCAAATTTATTTCACTGGATTATACTCCTTGAATAACATCTTCAAACCCTAATGTTTCCGATTTCTGCTTATACTTTTACTACCTCTATCACTATGGGATTTTAATCGACAATTGCAACTGTGTGGTAATGTGGTATGACAAGTTGAACTGATGTATGCATGTACGAAGTCCTACGTTGTTGCTGACTGACTGAATTTTCTTCGACATACAATAAGTAATTTTACAAAACCCGACCTTTGTTGCTACCTTGATTTGGTAGTCGGGCTTGCCTATCGTGATCAAGCAACTGAGCTATACTGGCTGGAACAACCGTTCCTCAAGGTCCTACCATGCCAGACAGGTCGGTTGAAAAGCGGTAGGACTAAAAGCAACAAACTCAAGGTCCGAAGTCGTACTGTTGACTGTACAGAGGTGTGACAGCAGTAATGTGTTTCCTTCAGACAACCAGCATGACAGCAATGCTGCCTTCTCACAAGGAGAGGTAGGGTTAAAAAAGGTCGACCCTAAAAATGCACACCTCGCCTTATCCCGCTGATATCCGTTTCCGGCGGTAAGATCTCAACAAGTACGGAGCTAACACGAAAATTACTCACAAAAAAGTCGTGTGTGACCGACCTCAATCAGTTGTCCCTTGGGCATTGCGGTCACTCTCTTAGGTCAGTAAGACCACCTCTAATCCAATTTCCCTTTCAGGTATCTCCAGAAGAACCCTTCCACGGTGTGGGCAACCGGGAAGTGATAACCACCCTCATACCTCTAACAGCACCCAAGAATTTTACATAAAATGGAAGTAAAAATTACAAAACACCAGTTGATCACAATTGTTAAGGTTGATAAAACTATTCTTACTATACTATGTCAGTTTTCTAATTTCTACTATTAAACTTATCACTGAAATTAACACAGAAATATTCAACGCATTCATTAAGTTATTTCCGATATTTATGATACGATGCAGTTTGATTTGCTTGTATATATACTGCTTATGCCTGAAATATATTATTCGTACAATGGTGACTGAGATTGTGTTCTGAATTCAATAGACAGCAGGGCAAGGTAAGAGAACAAGAACGAATAAGGACTCAGAGTTGATTCTAGGCCGCTCATACTAGTTAAGGCATCATTGGTTTGGCACAATGCCAAAGTCATATAAACTGGTTTTGTAATTGGTGATTTCGTCACATGATAATTAACAAGGCTATTAGAACATAACACTTTTGTCTATTTAGTCTCCAAGTTATAATTGAGTTATAGATTCTACTTTATTTTTAATTTATTGTTTTTATGCCTATATTTAAAAATTTTGGGGCGGGGGGGTATATTTAATTTTCATTTCAGCTATTACTTCACAATTATCAATCATCAAGTAATAATGAATCCAATAATAATACCATTCAAATGATTCATAAAAAAATCAATTTAAATCAAGAAATTTTAGCATGGGAACATGAACGATTCTCTATACATCGTTTACCTAGTTTAACATTATCTAATTGGCCATCTGTACAAATTGCAAATCAATGGCGTCAAACATCTTTAGACGGTATTCATATTATTAATAAGAATAATGATAATAATATATCACTAGATCTTTCTAATCAAACTACCATACATTATGGTACTGTTCATTCAGCTGTATTAGCTCGAAATACTCGTGTTATATTAGAAGCTCTATTACGTGTTCTATATGAAATACATTCAAATGAATCAATTATCATGAATAATTCACCAATTGTTGGATCTCATGTAAATTTATTTATTTTTAATTTGTTTACTGGTTTAAAATATCATTGGTATGTTTGAGAGTGAAGAGAGTTAGCTTTCGCTATCAAAATGCTCTCATATAGCCACTGACAGGGAAGTCCTACTCACTGCCTCCTCATATCAGGGGTGTTGTTTACAAAATTTCGAAAACGAAAAGCAAATATCTGGCAGTTTATCCAGATTGGTGGATACAGAGGATTCACCTAGAGGTGTTGGAAAACCCTGATTTCAAACCAATGATGCACATGAACTCCGGTATCCTGAGAGAACAAATGATGTACGAACCAATTATTGGTCACCAGCTTCCATGGAATTATATCTCCTGACGTTGCTCCACTGCCTTTTGGATTAGACCTTTAGGTCAAAGACATTGAGTGTGGCTCCCTAAGAAAACCACCTGCTTCGATTTGGGCACACAGGCAGTATCGCAGCCCTTACACAAATCGAATGATTTATGTTATATATATATATATATATATATATATATATATATATATATAATTTGGGGGTTATTAAGCGGATTTACATTTGCGTTATTGCAATCGATCTTAAGGTATGTTACCTAACGTCTCCATTCATTGATTACGATAATCGCGTTTGACCTAATCAGATAGTATACATGTATTGGCATTACTCAAGTGAATAAATGGATTACATTTATCAACATGACTATAATCAATTAATCAAAGCAACCATAATAATTTTCACTGAAATAGAAAAGTTCAAGGATAGTAATATATGTAGACCAGTTCAACATCTTACTGTTAATAATAGTGGGTTTTTTCCCCTGAGTCGTTATAATTTAAATGAATGCATTCTCAGGTTCTGTCCCTCATCTCATCTCTACTTCAATTTAAACCAAAAGGTAATATTTTGATTGAGATCATGAACCGATTGATGTTAGACCACCATTGAAAACCTAGAAGCACTGGACGACCGTTTCGTTTTATCGCGGGACTCTTCAGCAGTGCGCATCCACGATCCCACTGTCGGGATTCGAACCCAGGGCCTTCAGTCTCGTGCACGAACGCTTAACTCACTGGACCACTGAGTCGGCATCCAGTGATATACCATGAAAGTATAATTATAAAAGCCAATTTTTTTACCTGTACGAAATTATGGATTTAGTTGTATTATCATGGATTTGATATAAATAAGAACTTAATATATTAGAAGAGGTTTTATGTATATTATAGTAATTTTAATATTTGAATTCATAAGTCAATTAAAGCCAAACCTCAGCAGTGTGCATCCACCATCCCCCCTTACGAAATTCAAACCCAGACATTAACACCGTTGGATACCGACTAGCTCAATGGTCTAATGTTTAAGCGCTTGCTCGTGCGCTCAAGACTGATAGGTTCTAGATTCCAATCTCATGAGGTGGAATAGTGGATGCTCACTACCATTGAGAGGAGTCTCACAATAGGATGAAACGATCATCCAATCCTTTCACACTTTCATAATTCATACATAATAATTTAATACTTACTTACTTTGAAATTAATAATGTTTTATCTAATCTATTTTCTTTACATATTACATACATATATATATAGTGGTCTAATGAAATTACAACAAGTACTTTATTAGATTTAATTACTAAAACTCCTCGTAGTGCACAATATTTAACTTCTAAATGGATTACACATTACAAACCTATGGAATATATCTCTTCAACAGATCATAAAGTTCCTTTCAATAGAACAAGTATTATTAAAGATTTAGAATATTATTTATCACAAATTATTGATGATGTTCATTTAATTCAATATTCATTAAATGATGAAACTATTAAATCTAATGATAAAAAATCATCATCATCATCATCTTCGACTTCTTCTTCGAATCCTAAAACTAATCGTATAAAAAGTAATACTCATTTAGATTCTAGTGAAACAGAATTTAATTCAATACCATCAATGATTATTACTTCATTAGCAGCATCTACAGAAATAGATGTTATTTTATATACTGATATAATTCCATGTATTATGTCTGTTCATAGGTAAGTTGTAAATATTGGGGCGCGGGTGTGTGTGTGTGTGTATTGTTATTGTTTATAGTTGTATTCTTTTATTGTACAAATAACATAGGTAAATTCATCTTCATTAACATCAACATTATACAATGAGAAAACGAAGTTTATCAGAATTATGTGATATATTTGCGTAATACATTTCGAACAATCTGATCACATACATCTATACTTGTTGGCTAATGTGTTCATGGGATATGTTGAAAATTAAGTTGAAGACTTAATTCAAAAGATGAGTCTGTATAAACCACATGTTGATGATATAGTAATCATAGGGGATAAAGTTGAAGACATAAACCGCTTGTTAAAAGAATTCAATAGAAGTCAAAAGCACATTTCACCTACATGTGAAGAAGAGAAAAACAACCAACTTCCTTTTCTAGACATCTTGATTAGTAGGAGAGATGATGGTTCTATCCAATGTTCTATATATAGAAAGCCAACATGGACAGGGCAATATCTTTATTTTCATGGTCACTGCTCTATTCATAACAAACGTGGTTTAATCAACAGCTTATTCAATAGAATCAATCGTATTTGTACTAGTGATACTATTGAGGTAGAAATAAAGCTCTTGAAGTTCGTAAACCTCTGAAAGGGTTGCAATACGACTAGACCTATGACGTTTCTGACACCCAAAAAGTGAGTTTACATTCAGAGGTGACACAAATAGTCTCATGTTGAAACAGAGACTTAAATTAGCTATCAACCAGACATTTTATGCAGCCCAACTTGTTATTATGGAAAAGACAAGATGTATGTTTCTCCAAAAGCCCAAACAGCACAAAAGCGATTGTGTCTATCAATTTACATGTATGTGTTTCCACACATACATAGGGAGGAGCAATCGTGATTTGCAATTAAAGGTGGGTGAACATACATACCAAAATGGTTGCAAAAACAAATAGATTCCAATGGTTAAATAAGATCACAGGATAGATAGACGTCATCCTCCATTGCGAAACATTTGATTGAGACGGGTCATAAGGTTGACATCAAATCAACATTTGTAGTGTTATACAAAAGCCTTCAAGGACGTATACTAAGGTTTATTGAAGCCTTGGCTATACGGAAATTGAGACCCCCAGGTAGTCTACACCTACCAACATGGCTCAGTCCATTTGTCAGTGACGTCATGGATTTGTACCATGTTTTGGTCTGGCCGTCCATAGCTTTATTCCAACCTACTCCCACACCATCGAACATCGCACGTCGGGGCAGTTGGTGGTTGGGCATACGTAACACGTGTCCCAGCCATCTCAACTGATTAAGTTTCACTACTTCACCATTTCATTTGCCATCCTTATCTTATACCCGTTTCCTAACAACTGTGTTACTTACTCGATGGTACCAGGATATACAAGCAATGTTTCGAAGACATCTATGGTCGAATACTAGTAACCTACGAATATTCACTGCCATAAAGTAGGACGGGACGAAGTGCTGCGCAGTAAACACGTCCTTTGGTTGGTAGACGGACATCTCGCCTACGACGTAAGTTGGCAAAAGCTAGTCGAGCTTTCTGTATCCGTGCTGAGATTTCATCACACACCAGACCGTGAGAGCTGATGAGACTTCCAAGATAAGTGAAGCGGTCGACACGCTCAACTACTTCACTCCCTATCACTAGTTCGGGTGTCGATGCAACCCAATCCTGAAGCAACATTTTGCATTTCGAGGGAGAGAATCTCATGCCCGACATGCTTGCAGTGGTCAAAAAACTGCATTTTGTCAGCGTCTTCACCAAATAGAACTATGTCATCGGCATATTTCAAGTCAAAAAGTGAATCTCCCGGTAGAAGTTCAACCCCTGGAAGTTTAGATGAGGAAAGTGTCATCTCTAAGAGCACGTCAATGACAGTTAAACAAAAATAGAGAGAGTAGACAGCCCTAACGACGATCGTGTAACATCCCACTGTGTTTATCAATTTAAATGTGTGTGTGTGTGTGTGGTTACACGTGCATAGGGAGGAGTTATCGTGATCTCAACATTAGGGTGTGTGAACATGTACCAAAATGGTTACAGAAACAAATACAATCATCCTCTGCTGCTAAACATATAATCGGAACAGGTCTAAAATTGATCTTAACTCGGCCTTTGTGGTGTACAAAAAAGTATGAAAGGGCGTATACTAAGGTCTATTGAAGCCTTAGACATACGAAAATTTAAATCCTCTTTGTGTATTCAAAAACAGTTTGTTCTTACCTTAAACCTACCCTGGTAATATTGATGTATTATCCAGAGTGATTAGGTTTCGAATTGTGTTCACATTATTATTATTATTATTACTCTTATTACTATCCTTGTCTCCTCTTATCCCATTTCCAGTCTACTTTTTCTAAATCCGATGGAATAGTATATTTTTCCCCAATCTTCTAGAACCTTGATTTTCTGTAATACACCTCTATTTGAAGGGGTTTCGTGGAGATTTTAGTAATTTCAATAGTTGGGATCATGAGTCAATTGAAGCTGAGACCACCATGGAAAACCTGGAAGCACTGATTAACCGTTTCGTCCTAGTATTAGACTCCTCAGCGATACGTATCCACGACCCCGCCACGTGGGATCCGAACCTAGGACCTATCAGTCTTGCGCGCGAGCGCTTAACCACTTGACCATTGAGATGGCCGTCATTCAACGGTGTTAATGTCTAACTACAACTAATCCACGAAATCGAGTGACACATCCACCATTGTCATCAGTAAATTACTATCTCACAACTGGCCCGGTTAAACTTCACTGGTCACTGCTTCTCACTAGAACTTCAGGATATACATCGTGAAGCAAGTCGTGGATGTACACTGCTGAAAAGTCCCACAATAGGACGAAACGACCGTTCTATGCTTCCAGGTTTTCCATGGTGGTCTAGCTTCAATTGACTCATGATCTCAACTATTGGAAACACCTATTTTTTATATTTAATTCAAAGTGGGTCTTCTATATCCTATTGAAAGGGTTGGAAATTTTCGAAAACTAAAAGAAATCCAATGTTTGAAGTGTTCATAGTATAGGGTTTATTATATTGAATAGCTGTTTCATTCTAGTTTGGTATTTTTGCGTTTGAAAACCGTAGAGTATTACATAATCACGTATAACAATTTGCCCCCGAATGACCTGGTACGGCCGAGAGTGGAGAGAGTCAATCCTACTCACCTCACGCCGGAGTTATTGTTTACGAAATCGAGAGGACGAGAAGCAAATGTCCGGCGCTTTAACCGAGTTGCTGGATACGGAGGATTCACCTAAAATAGTTGGAAAACCCTGATTCCAAACCAATAGTATACATGGGCTCCAAGATCCGTAGGAAACAAATGGCGTATGAACCAATTGTTTGTCACCGGTTACCATAGGACTGCATCTCCTGACGTTGCTTTACTGCCTTGTGTATATTTAACTCCTTGTCGATTTCTAGCTAATTTAATACAAAATTTCTAAAAAATCAGTGGTTATCTGTATTCCTTTTTTCAATTCCGAATCTAATTCTTTTTTTCTTTCCTCTTGAAGGCTGAAGTCGTCCATATTTGATTTTGCTATTGCTTGTTTAATAACTGGCTACCTTGGATTGTTGTATCTGTTCTTGGAGGTGAGTTTTTCCAATTGTATTGTATTCTTTTTTCTGTGTATATGTAGCATTTGAAATGTTTCAATTCTGAGGTCTTTAGTACATTGGTTGTTGGTATTTTTATGGATAGATTTAGAAACTATTGTTGTTTTAAACATCAACTAGGACAGGTGAATCTGACTGATCACTTGGCATTAACTGATGTCAAGTATATTTAGCCGCTAGTGTTAATCAAATCGTAATGATTAAGCTAGTTTCACCACTAGTCATCGCGTATACTATGCTTTGATTTTAGATGGTTGAAGACAATTAGAAAGAAGCTGTACATTTAGGTGTAGTACTATATGGTACTCGTCATCTGGACACATCTACAATCTTATATACCAGTCAGTGAGCTACAACGTAGGATCAGGCACATATATGCATCAGTCCAAGTTACCATACCGCATTAACACAATAGGATGAACACTGGATTCATAGGAGTAGTTAAGACGTTCGGGAATCTTTTATATTTCAATAGTTGAAATCAATTGAAGCTAGACCACCATGGAAACTATTGAAATTTCTAAAAAATCTCCACAAACCCCTTTGATAATAATCATCTGCTCACTAGTGACTGGCTTCAAGAGGCATTTCCTGAAGTTCTATTGCGAAGCCGTCACCAGTGGAGTCCAACCAGGTCTGTTGTAAGATATCAACTCACTGAAGACAATGGTGTACGGTGGCGCAATTCCGTGGATTGGTTGAAGTTAGACATTAACACCGTTGGATGCCGGCCAGCTCAGTGGTTTAATGGTTAAGCACTCGCGCGCGAGACTTATAGGTCCTGGGTTCGAATTTCGCGGGTGGGGAGGAATCGTGGAGGTACACAGCTGAGGAGTCCCATACTAGGACGAAACGGTTGACTAATGTTTCCAGGTTTTCCATGATGGTCTAGCTTCAATTGACTCACGATTTCAACTATTGAAATTTCTGAAAATAACCCTTCTGATAATTTTATATATGACATAGTAATATCTCTGACTGTAACACAGTTTTGAGATAGATTCGAACTCCCCGGAGCAGCATCAGCTTTTGTATAGAGCTCGAGACTTCCTGTTGTAATTCCCTCCAACTATACATACTCTGATTACCATCACATAAAACGGCCTATCTAGTGTTCTGTTGAATGCTGAAATGATTCCAACTCTTGTAGATGGTATATATTTTACAATTGCAAACAATTTGAAATCTTTCCGACAATTCTTTATGTTGAAGTTAGACATTAACACCGTTGGATGCCGGCTCGGTGGTCTAGTTGGTTAAGCGCCTGGCGCGAGACTGATAGGTCCTGGGTTCGAATCTCGCGGGGTGCGGGATCGTGGATGCGCACTGCTGAGGAGTCCCATACTAGGACGAAACGGCCGTCCAGTGCTTCCAGGTTTTCCATGGTGGTCTAGCTTCAATTGATTCATGATTTAAACTATTGAAATTCATTTTTATAAACCATTAACAAAGCACTAAATAACTTTGATTTTTCAATTATTTATTTATTTGAACACAAATATTGGTACAAAGGGGCACCAAATACACATGCGCCACACAAGTCACTTGATTTATCTGCGAGCTGTGCTACTTCCAGGGTGCCCAAATCGAAGCATTTGGTTTACTTAGGGGGGCACACTCGGAGCCTTTGACCCAAAGGTCTAATCCATAAGACAGTGGAGCAACGTCAGGAGACGCAGTCACATGATAGCCGGTGACCAACAGTTGGTTCATACGTCATTTGTTCCGTCAGGATACTGAAGCCAGCCCATGTACACCATTGGTTTGGGACCCGGTTATAGCGCCGGACATTCGCTTTTCGTCCTCTCATTTTCGTAAATAACACCTCCGACATGAGAAAGCAGTGAGTGGGACTTCCCTGGCAGAGGCTATGTACGCGTGGCCATGTGAGAGCATTTCGAGAGGGAGGGTGGGCCCACCTCACTCTCGGCCATACCAGGGCATTTGAAGGCTTAATTTTTCAAACTGACACATTTGTGTCCAGTTCGATTGTTGTTAAGTACGTATAACTATTAACTCTCTCCTTAGCCCCACTTCCTCAAATAAATCTAAAAGATTAATCCTCATAATATTTATCGGTATAGCAATATATAAAACTAAGTGAACCGTAGCTGCTACCTCCCGACCGTAGCTGCTACCTTGACGTGGTGGTCGGGCTTGCCTATCGTGATGACCCAACCGAGCTATATTGGCTGGAACTCAAGTTCCTGCAGGTTCTACCATGCCAGGCAGGTCGATTGGAGAACGGTAAGACTAAAAGCAGCAACTCAAGGTCTGAGGGCGAAGTCGTACTGCTGACTGTACAGAGATGTGACAGCAGTAAGGTGTTTCCCTCGGACAACCAACATCTGCAGCGATGCTGCCTTCTCACAAGGAAGGAAGGGGTTAGAAAAGGTCGACCCTAAAAATGTCACACCTCACCTTACTCCACGGATTTCCGTCTCCGGCGGTAAGGCCCTTTGAAGAACGGAGCTAACACATTAAAAACCTCCCACAAAAAGGCCGTGAGCGACCGGCCTCAAGCAGTTGTCCCTTGGGCTCTGCGGTCACGCACTCAGGTCGCTAAGACCAACACTAATCCGATTTCCTTTTCAGGTTCCTCAACAAATACCCTTCCACGGTGTGGGCAACCGGGAAGTGATATCAACCCTCATACCCGTAACAGCACACGAGACCAAGTTGGTCACATTCAAATCCTTCCTACACCTCCTAATAACTCTCTTATCTCCACGACTAACCCTTCTCACGTCCCTTTATCACCTCGCCCCGCTAGTGCGAACGATTCGAGTACGCGGAATGTTATTCCTGGTCTCCTGAAACCACGCTCCAAACTACACGTAGGAGCTTTCAACGTCCGAACACTGTGCCAAATAGGACAACAGGCTTCCTTAGCTAAGACTTTAGAATCTCGCTCCACCGATGTGTGCTGCGTCTCCGAAACGCGCACACAGGATCCTAGTAGTGTCATTCATTTGATTGCACCATGTCAAAGTAACGAACCAACTCGATTTACGCTTCGTGTATCTGGAAGCCCTGATGCTGCATCCCGTGGCCTCGCTGGCGTAGGTATAGCATTGAGTCCTAGGGCAGAACTAGCTCTCTTAGACTGGATCCCAGTAGACAGTCGTTTGTGTGCTGTCCGACTAAACGGAACAGTTAGGACTCGAAAAGATAGGGACACTCGTCGTTGCCTCTTCGTCGTCTCTGCCTACTCTCCCACTGACTGCAGCTCAGATGATGTAAAAGATGAGTTTTACAGAAAGCTTTCCGACCTTCTCCGTAAAGCTAGGCGTTCAGATGTAGTAATAGTGGCTGGTGACTTTAATGCTCAAGTAGGTAAACTAAGCGAAAAGGAAAGACACCTGGGTGGATCTTACGGTGTCGCGGCTCAAAGAACAGATAACGGTGACCGTCTGTTGCAGCTATGTTCAGATAACCGCCTGTTTCTTGCAAACACTAACTTTAAGCATAAGGAAAAACATCTTTTAACATGGCGACCTCCTAATTCGTCTCAACGCTGGACCCAAATAGATCACATCGCTATCAGCCACCGATGGAGGGGCTCGATAGAAGACTGTCGCTCATTCTGGAGCACATGCTTAGACTCAGATCATGCTCTAGTGCGAGCGCGTATTTGTCTACGTCTTACTGGACGTAGGAAACATGCTGCAAGGAAACCCCTTAGGGTCCTACTTAATGATAGTCAAGCTAAGAGTATATTTCAGGAACATCTAGAAAAACAGTTAGGCAGCTATGTAAGTGATACCCACCCCGAGGCAGCATGAAATGACATCCGAAAAGCTGTAGAAACAGCAGTGATGTCTTCAAGTACGGTAAACCATAAGGTTAGGGAGAAACACTGGATCTCAGCAGCATCTACCGCACTGATAGATGCTCGAAAACTCATTCCATCTGGCTCTGAACATAACGAAGGGCGGAGTCAGCTTAAGCGTAAGCTGACTAGAAGCCTACGCAAAGATCGTGAACAGTGGTGGGTAGCGAAAGCAAGAGAGATGGAAAAGGCAGCGGCAATAGGTAACAGCAGGCAACTGTTCAGACTTGTTAAGGAAACCGGTATTAGGAACCCAACTGTTAGCGAAACAATCGCAGAGAAAGATGGACATATTATTCATTCTCAATCCAGGAGATTGGATCGATGGGCAGAATACTTTAGGGATCAGTTCAACTGGCCTTCAGCCACACTTCGGTTTCCCACGATCCCCAGTCGACCTGAATGGCAAGTTGATGTAAGTCCTCCGACTCTTTACGAAGTTGAAAAAGCTATAGGAAATCTGAAGCGTGGGAGAGCAGCAGGCCCTGACAGGTTTACCCCTGAGATTTTTAAGGATGGTGGTCCAGTATTAGCAGCGAGATTGACTGAGGTCTTAGGTAGAATCTGGGAACTGGACGTAATCCCATCTGACTGGTCTCAATCACTGATTGTACCAGTCTATAAGAAAGGACAAAAGTCCTCCTGTGACAATCACAGAGGAATTAGTTTGACTAATATAGTGTCTAAAATATTAGCTTCAATAATACTTCGACGTCTAACCAAAGCTCGTGAAGAGCAGACTAGAGAAAACCAGGCTGGTTTTCGACCTGGACGTGGTTGTATTGATCAAATATTCACATTACGTCAGGTCCTAGAACATAGACACACATTCAGACGTCCCACAATGGTAGTATTTTTCGACCTTAAGGCGGCATTTGACTCTGTTGATCGTAAGGTTCTATGGCAATGTTTGTCACTGAAGGGAGTACCAAAGAAGTACGTCAACCTTATAAAGGCTCTCTACTCGAACACAACTGGTCGAGTGAGAGCTTATGGTGAACTGTCATCAGAATTGATTACCTCAAGTGGTGTTCGTCAGGGCTGTCCACTCTCTCCATTCTTGTTTAACTTTGTCGTTGACGTCCTTTTAGAGATGACACTTTCCTCATCTAAACTTCCAGGGGTTGAACTTCTACCGGGAGATTCACTTTTTGAATTGAAATATGCCGATGACATAGTTCTATTTGGTGAAGACGCTGACAAAATGCAGAGTTTTTTGACCACTGCAAGCATGTCGGGCATGAGATTCTCTCCCTCGAAATGCAAAATGTTGCTTCAGGATTGGGTTGCATCGACACCCGAACTAGTGATAGGGAGTGAAGTAGTTGAGCGTGTCGACCGCTTCACTTATCTCGGAAGTCTCATCAGCCCTTGTGGTTTGGTGTGTGACGAAATCTCAGCACGGATACAAAAGGCTCGACTAGCTTTTGCCAGCTTGCGTCATTTGTGGCGTAGGCGAGATATCCGTCTATCAACCAAAGGACGTGTTTACTGCGCAGCAGTTCGTTCCGTCCTACTTTATGGCAGTGAAACATGGCCGGTAAGAGTAGAGGATATTCGTAGGTTACTAGTATTTGACCATAGATGTCTTCGAAGCATTGCTCGTATATCCTGGGACCACCGAGTAAGTAACTCAGTTGTTAGGAAACGGGTACTAGGTAAGGATGGAAAATCAATTGAGGAAGTAGTGAAACTCAATCATTTGAGATGGCTGGGACATGTGTTGCGCATGCCCGACCACCGACTGCCACGACGTGCTATGTTTTCTGGTGTAGGAGTAGATTGGAAGAAAGCTAGGGGCGGCCAGACCAAAACATGGCACAAATCCATGAAGTCACTGACAAGTGGACTGAGTCATGTTGGTAGGTGTAGACTACCTGGTTGGGGACCGCGAGACGATAGCAACCGATGGTTAGAGACCTTGAATGACATGGCTCAAAATCGTTTGCAATGGCGCAGGTGCATCCACTCTTTGTGTTCTCTCAAACTCTAATCTTCTGAATTCTTCATGTCCTTTATTTTCTTTCCCAATTTATTCCACTGGACTATACTCCTTTAATAACATCATCAAACCTTAATGTCCCCTATCTCTACTTATACTTTCAGTACCTCTACCACTATGGGATTTGAATCGATAACTGAATCTCTGTGCTAATGTGGTATGGCAACTCGAACTGATGTACGTACGTACGAAGTTCCACGTTGTTACTGACTGACTGAACAGCTTTGTATACAGTTATATTTTCCAATGCTCTTGTTGTGGATCCTAGCAAAAGAGTTAATAATGAAGTCCTATGTATCTATCTATGAGTAAAGCAAAAGGTAACAAATTATAGTTATTATGAAATGAATGTTACTTGTAACCTGCTATCTGAAATAACAACCACAAATGAGTTCACTTGATTAACAAAGATTCCTCTACACATGGTGTGACATCAACAACGTAATGAGAAAGATCTAATAATGATTCGTGCCAAAAATTCAACGTACTATGGGAAGATCTAAAAGGATGTTACAACACTATTATAATCTTCAATCAAATACCGTAGCCAATAAAGCAGAAAACAAATGGTGGAGATAGTGTTTATATGTTAACAATCGCAGTAGTGTATGTATGGCGTAGGTGTATATACTCTCTGTCTTCCCTTATACTATGTCAGTCAGTAACAACGTAGAACTTTGTACGTATGTACATCAGTTCAATTTGTCATGCCACATTACCACACAGTTGCAATTGTCGATTCAAATCCCATAGTGATAGAGGTAGTAAAAGTATAAGCAGAAATCGGAAACATTAGGGTTTGAAGATGTTATTCAAGGAGTATAATCCAGTGAAATAAATTTTGAAAGAGAAAAAAATGGGGACATGAAGAATTCAGAAGATTAGAATTTAGGAGAACACAAAGAGTGGATGCACCTGTGTCATTGAAAATGATTTTGAGCCATGTGTCATTCAAGGTCTCTAACCATCGGTTACTATCATCCCATGGGGAATACGTTTGTTTGTCGCAAAAACGAAGAATATCTCTTGTAACTTAAAAGTGAAGTAAAATGGCAGAGTTTGTTCGAACTCCTTATAACAACGTACTTACTTACGCCTGTTACTCCTCGTGGAGGAGCATACGCCTCCTATTTCCGTTGCTATTTGACTGGTCTCCCACATTGTCCATGTACCTATAAAAATTGTTACTCTGGCTGTCATAAAATACATCAACCTCGTAACTTCCGAAGGAACTCGGCTTTCACCATGAGGCATCATAACTCTTCTAAATGAAAACCTCCTAACTCCCAGAGCAGAGGTTAAATGGTTTGAAATGTTTTTCCTGTTTAGGGTTTTTTAGCGAGTTGGTTTTTTACGGGGTGGATTCGCTAACCCCGTGCCCAACCCTCCTTCTTTATCTGGGCTTGAGACCGCCAGTAACTCTAGAAAAGCTATGGGCGGGGTTCTTACAACAACTTACTGTCTACTTATATGTTGTTCTTTTTGTTATTTTCTTTCCCTACAGCATTTCCATATGGTGCAAAGTCTTTTCAAATTTAATCGAATAGTAAAATCAAAATCTCAATGACACTATGACCTGGTAGTTTACGAACGTACGTAATGTTGTAATCTGTTGTAAAAAAGATGAAAATTGAACAGCTTGTCGTTGGGGGAGTGTTTTGTGTGTGTGCATTTCCATGTACATTTACTTGTATGTTCTAATCAATATTAGTTTTTATTGGGCCAATACTCTGTAACTTTTAGTCTTTTAGTATAATTTATTATATGTATACATCATTTTTTTGCATAGTTCGTTTGGTTACTTACTATGTATTTCACGTTTTTACAAATACCTTTATACAGGCTGTTTCGAGCAATTTCTCCCCCCCCCCATACACACACACACTTGATTGGAGTAAGAAGTATAAACTATTCACTTATGAAAAGACAAATAGTAGCTAGCAATGGGATCCAGGATAAAGCGCGTTTCACCTTATCTTTGCTTAAAATGCTTGTGATTTAAGGCTATATCGAGGCAATCCGCACAGGATGTACATATGCCAACATAAAACTGATTAATTGCAGTCCTAAATAACAATGGTAAGATACAAGTAAAACAACACCAAATGAATTTAAACTTCACCCTATTGCACAAGCAGTTAGCTGTCAGGACTCAGTAGCTAAATAATCACAATTGATTGATCACTGGGTGGTGATCAATGTCATGTGTGTCAAGTCCTTCTTAGTGCAAATCGAATGCTATCGACCAAGTTGCAATGTGACCACTAGTCTAGGTGATTCGACATTGTGCGCGCTATGTTGAGATTTGATGATGGTTGGAGGTAGTCGACAGGAAACCCGGTTCCAGGGTAAAACAACAAGTGAATTTATTCACTTATGAGTTAGTTATTTTAAAGGTGTTTTGGTCATTGCGATAAATGAAAGCTGTTGGTTAATGACTTATTGACGAATCCGAGACTACAAAACAAAATAAACGTCACTTATTTCTTGATTCTTAGTGGATTACTTTCATTTGATTATTGATACCTTCGTGACATTGCTCGAACATATTGAGAACACTGAATGAGCAATGCTGGGATTAAACATAGGGTACTGAGTTAGCATGCCGAATAGGTTGATTAGATAGTTAATCTTCAACTAAGGTGATTGTGACATGTATTAGATATACCCAATTACCCTCTACCTCGACACGATGTTCACTGGTGTAAGAGTATGCTAGAAGAAAGTTAGAGGCGGTCAAATCAAAAATATGGCATCACTATTAATTTGAGTAATGTTGATGAATGTATACCACTTGATTGGGTTAAACGCGATTATCCTAATCAATGATTGAAGAGGTTAGGTGACATACCTGAGTATTGGATCTCAAGTTTCAAAATTATCTTGTACTTCACATTTATTCATGTCCATATATAATGCTTTCCATTGTCCCTAATACTGTTAGTGTTTCGACAACTGTGACATTTATGTTGACAATGTAGTACTCAATGTACTGATAAAATGATCCAAATATATGACAGATTCCATGTTGTAACGCGTTGATGGTTAGTGTTAGTTAGTAACAGAAACACTGGCGGTTAAGCAACCGAGTTCTGATGTTGGAGAATTTGGGTGATTGAAGACTGCATATGAGTACTAGGGACTTGAAGTGTTCTTCAGTGAGGGATCTGAGTTTGAACCATTCGCACTCACGCCGACATGGGTCAAGAAGTCTTCAGACTCACTCATGACCAGTTTTAAGCAGCGATAGCGAGTATTGAAAAGAGAATGATGATCACCAAAAAGTTGGCTAAGGGATTGGATAGTGGCGTCGAAGGAACGGTCACGTCGATTCTGCGGTAAGATGAGGTTGCAATACTTATCCAGCTCGGATGGACCAAATTCCCAAAGGAGGAGAAGCACCTTCCACGAATCATCTCTGTCAGCAAAGTCAACTTTGAAAAGGTCTTCATAACGCCTGAACCAAGTATCAAATGTAATATTGGCGCCAGGATCATAAAGAAATTCTGAAATACCACTGGTAATACCATCAACTGATTGAGGGATTGTCGGTGTAATTGGGACTCGATAAGATATATGCGCCTGAGTAATCATCTCCATCAGCTGTTGTTCAAACAATTTTTCTAATTTGGCTGGATCCATAGTTAGTCACTGTTATATCTAGAAGGTTGATCACTTGATATACCGCGTATAACTGAACACTAGAACACCAAAACCCCTCCAAGTCGCAAGGAGAAGACAGAAGACTAGTGAGAGGAATATTATTCCAAACAGTGTCAATTATGGTACAAATTGTCAGGTATTTATAGTTTTTAGTAAGAACAAAAATCATCATTACAGTCCTCCAATCCACATACAGGGGGTTACTAGTCTTGTCCAATCGGGAAGCTACACGTAGGAATTCTAGAATATTCTTCCTAAAGGTGATTGGATGGAATATCTTCGGCTCCTTCTGAGCCTCTTACAGTTTACTCGAGTTCACACGTCACAGTCACCAACTTGTTTGCTGAATCTCCGTCGCCAAATTATTGTGGACCGCGGGGTGGATACTCAATTCTACCGATTGACCAAATGCAGATATCCCAGTACGACCCCAATCTCCAATATATCAGAACACGAACCGTTAGATGAAAATTGTTTATGGGGTCAGGAGAATAATAACAATACTTTACAAACAAATGCATATTTATACAGTTAGGAGGATCGTGAATAGTGGCCAGTAGGAAAATGACACTATTTAACGTTCAAGGATAGCATTCGACTTAACAGGATAGTTTTGGGGATATTTTTTGAGTTGGGAAACCCTCATTCCAAACCAATGGTACACATGGGCTTCAGTATCCTGAGAGAAAAAATGGCGTGTGAACTAATTATTGGTCACCGGCTTCCATGAGACTGCATCTCCTTATGTTGCTCCACTGCCTTGTGGATCAGACCTTTAGGTCAAATGCTTCGAGTGTTGACCCCTATGAAAACCACCTGCTTCGGTTTGGGCACTCGGTCAGTATCACAGCTTCTCGAATGATCAATTAGTAAATCCGTAAAGTTTATGGGTCTTTTTCTTTACCTTCAATCGGTATTCCATAGTTACGTTTTAAGAGGGATACATCGTAAAAATGAGTGATCAGTTCAATGTGGTAAATCAGTGGTAGGAGTCGATTATCATCTTTGTCTAAACAATCAAAATGTGATTTCTGTAATATTACTGGGAAAAACTATAGCGAATCACGATGACACTACCAAGATGGAGTTTATAAGGGAAAGCTGTCGTTCTACCAAGCAGTAATTGTTCATAAAGCTAATCTTGTTCAAACCACTTCTAGGGTTTTAAAAAATAAATAGCTCCCTGAAATTAACCTACAGTTGACTTTTCATTTCTTCATAGAACCAAATGCATAGCCTTTGTATTACTCACTTGTTGGTTCTACTATACAACCGTACAATACAGTCTTAAGATAAGCAAACCGATATCTTTCATGGGACAAAAGTTATACAACAGGACCCATACTTGGCATATTTTGAATACGTATACCACATGATCTATAAGCCGAAAAGAAATAATTTCATCTAGCTCTATACAAATAACTGTATGGCTAAATTGGTAGTGAAATTATCACTGCCAATTTTGCTAATGACAGTAAACATGTTATATAATTATATCTCAACGATAATATACTATTTAGTCTTAACAGCATACTCCTGAACTATCAGTATAGGGGTTGTGGAGATACTACTATTCATTATAGTTATTGAGGTTAAACCTAAGAAGTATAGTCCACAATAATTGAATCAGATCGAAAGATAGCGAATAAATACAACTGCGTTTTCTACTGATTTAAAACTGAATAGCACCATTAATATAACTAGCAGGGTATTACAATCATTCTTGTTATTACAGATAAATCAAACAGTTTAAGAGTATATGATTGAGATCATAAACCGATTGGTGTTAGACCACTGTTGAAAACCTGGGAGTACTGGACGACCGTTTCGTCTTATTGTGGGACTCCCCAGTAGTGTGCATCCACAATCCCGCTCGCGGGATTGGAAACCAGGGTCTTCAGTCTCGCACACGGACGCTTGACCTACTGGGCCGGAATCCAATGGTGTTAGTGTCTAACATTAACATATGCTCTCTAATGACTAGCTTCGTGAGGGAATTTAGTGACAAATAGAGCTAATCTGTGTCGGGTAGAGACAAGTATCTACCTCCGTACAATGGAAGATGGTCGCGCAGTTTCCTCGGTTGGTTGGTGTTAGACACTAACATCATTGGATTCCGGCCCAGTGGTCCAGTAGGTTAAGCGTCCGTGTGCGAGACTGAAGGCCCTGGTTTCCAATCCCGCGAGCGGGATCGTAGATGCACACTACTGGGGAGTCCCACAATAAGACGAAACGGTCGTCCAGTACTCCCAGGTTTTCAATAGTGGTCTAACACCAATCGGTTTATGATCTCAATCATATACTCTTAAACTGTTTGATTTATCTGTAATAACAAGAATGATTGTAATACCCTGCTAGTTATATTAATGGTGCTATTCAGTTTTAAATCAGTAGAAAACGCAGTTGTATTTATTCGCTATCTTTCGATCTGATTCATTTATTGTGGACTATACTTCTTAGGTTTAACCTCAATAACTATAATGAATAGTAGTATCTTAATTTTTCATCCATAGCTTCGCACCTCGTGTTAATTACCTATCTTGGTTATGTTAATATGGTGTGTGGCAACTTTTAGGCCAATACATATCCCATGCTGTGAATTTCTGACGGTTATATTTACTAAGTGAGATCTTGGGAGACGTCAGATAACAACGCGAATCGAGGTAGACAAGATAGTTTTTAAATCCATGACCCAAAGTTACAAAAAATATTGAACCCCGAGCCCATTGAGATTGTAGTTATTCAGTATCATGTGAAAAGAAAATAACCACAAGCAGTCTGTCAACTTATTTTATCAGTATAAACACTAATTTACATGATAATGAATAATAATCATGAAGACATATACACAAATATTTAATAAATCAATTTATTGCTGGTTACTCATCGTAATCCTCGTTGTCGTCGGCTTCCTCTTCTTCTTCCTCTTGTTCTTCGTCTGATTCATAATCTTCCCCAGGCATACGACTGCCTTCACCATCAGCACCATCATAATCACTGTCATCGCTCTAGATGAAAAAAATAGAAGGGAACATCTAGAAAGTTTCCATGATGATATATGATTTCCTAGAAAATTGTACTGAATCTTAAATCAGAAGTTAGTATTCTCAAGTACTAGACACTGATATGTAGGTATAACTAGTCCTATGACAAATCCTAAAACCATAAATGCTACAGCGTGATATTGGCTTATACGTAATTGCTCAGTGTGACGCATTTCATTAGTTAATTTCGTTCCAACTAACTTCATTGGGAGAGGGGTTCATAAATGAACTGACGAGTCTTAAAACTTGATCGTAAAACATGATATACAGCATTTGACTTTTTAACATATAAGAAGAAAATTTAGTGAAAAGAATAACAAAACATAATTAAATAACGAAACATGGTAGTTTGAACAAGTTTAATTACTCATCATTCAAACATCAGATTATGATCTGATGTACTCACAACAAAATTAGTAACTTTATACAGACTGATGTATATTTATTATGGGTGACAAAAAAACAATACATTCTACGTTAAGTATTCATATCAATATGCTCTATAAACCTACTTGGAAATGAAATACTCTTGTCAAACAAATACCCATTCAATAGTTAAAATCATGAGTCAATTGAAGCTAGACCACCATGATAAACCTGGAAGCACTGGACGGCATACTACCGAGGAGTCCCATACTACGACGAAACGGCCATCAAGGTTTCCCATGATGGTCTAACCTTAATTGACTCATGATTTTAACTATTGAAATTTCTAAAAAAAATCACCACAAAGCCCCTTGAAATACCCATTCACTTTAATTAATAAGTTGAGTTAAAGCTGAAAGAACATATAGTACGGAAGTGTATTAACCATCACTGTCACAGCTGATAAAATTTCTTAACATTAACCCAGTAAACTTTTTTATTCAGTAAGTACTGATATACTTTAATAGCACAATTGATTCAGTCAGTCAGCAACATCGTAGAACTTCTTACGTACGTACATCGGTCCCAGTTGCGATACCACATTAGCACACAGATACAATTGTCGATTCAAATCCCATTGTGTTAGAGGTAGTAAAAGCATAAGCAGTAATCGGAAACATTAGGGTTTGAAGATGTTATTCAGGGAGTATAATCCAGTGAAATAAATTTCGAAAGAGAAAAAATGGCGACATGAAGAATTCAGAAGATTAGAGTTTAGTAGAACACAAAGACAGCCAGCATAGCATCAGTAGGCCTCAAAATACACAAAGGGAAAACCAAGGTCCTCAAACACAACACGGAGTACAGCAATCCAATCACTCTTGATGGCGAAACTCTGGAAGATGTGGAATCCTTCACATACCTGGGAAGCATCGTTGACAAACAAGGAGGTTCAGATGCAGACGTAAAGGCGAGGATTGGCAAAGCAAGGAAAGCATTCCTTCAATTAAAGAACATATGGAACTCAGAACAACTTTCAAGCAATATCAAAGTCAGAATCTTCAATACGAACGTCAAAGCAGTTCTACTGTATAGAGCTGAAACTTGGAGAACTACAACAACCACCATCAAGAAAGTACAAGTATTTATCAATAGCTGTCTACGAAAGATACTCAACATCTATTCGCCGAATACCATCAGCAACAGCCTTTTGTGGGAGAAAACCAACCAGCTTCCAGTGGAAGAGGAAATTATGAAAAGACGATGGAAATGGATAGGACATACATTGAGGAAATCATCAAACTGCATTACGAGACAAGCGCTAACTTGGAATCCTGAAGGGAAGCGGAAAAGAGGAACGCCAAAGAACACATTACGTCGGGAAATAGAAGCGGATATGAAAGGGATGAATAAGAACTGGAAAGAGCTTGAAAGGATTACCCAGGACAGGGTTGGATGGAGAATGCTGGTGAGCGGCCTATGCTCCTTCATGAGGAGTAACAGGCGAAAGTAAGTAAGTAAAAACACAAAGGGTGGATGCATGTGTGCCATTGCAAACAATTTTGAACCATGTCATTCAAGGTCTCCAACCGTCGGTTGCCATCATCTCGTGAATCCAAACCAGGCACTCTACACTTATCAACATGGCTCAGTCCACTTGCAATGACTTCATGGATTTGTGTCATGTTTTGGTCTGACCGCTCCTAGCTTTCTCCCAACCTACTCCTACATCATAAAACATCGCTCGTCAGGGCAGTCAATTAAACCATCATAAGATCTATATTACAACTTCAGTCATCATCACTGAATATGATAAATACTCCACAATAGATTACACGACATGTAGACTAGTTATTAATTCTTCAGAAATGAGAACCAAAAAGAAAAAGTTACAGTATATATTAAGACATTATGAACTTTCAGTGTAACCTGGAAATCCGTAACAATGGAACTACTCATAAGTTTCTCACAATGTGAGAGGGGTTACTCTGAAATTTTACAGATACTTTCCAAGCCAAAATACTATTCACACACATTTATATTACATTTTAATGACAAATTAGAAGAAAACTTTCTAGTGAGTTTGCTCAGACACTTAGCAATCATGCCTGATTGAACAAGTAGATTATGACTGATAGTAGAGATTGTTAGACTGAAAGTTGGTCTTGATCATATTCCAATAACGCAAATGAAATCTCGATATCAGTTTAGAAAGCTCAGTTGACTTGTGCCGAAGTAAATTACTTGCACTATAGGCAAGATGTTCACTTGCCAACCAAAACGACGAGTATATCGACAGACAATTCACTCTGTTCTACTTTACAGTTATGAAACACGGCTTTTCAACATCGAGAATATTCGTAGGTTTGAAAATAAATATTTTTCATGAATTTTTCATGCATGATAGGATCATCGAGTGGTCAATGCCGAAGTTACAAAGTATACTACGTAAAGATGGTAAACCTGTAGATAAAGTGCTAGTAAGTCTTCATCAACTGAAGTAGTTGGGACATGTATTACGCATATCCAACTACTGTTTACAACAACATGTGGTGTTGGCTGAAGGTGTAGGATTATACTGAAATAAAGTTAGGGACATCTAAACCAAAGTGTGGGATCACTCGATGAATTCATTGATAGCTGGACTGGAGTATCTTGACAGACACATACTACCTGGTTCTCGTTCGTTAAATTATCGTAACCAACAATTTAATGGGTCAAGTGACATGGCTTAAAACTGGTTTTAATAATGCAGATATATTCATTCTTCGTCTTCCTTTAGATCTAAGATATCTTATACTTTTTTATTCCACAAATTCATTCCTTATCAAATCTTGCAGCCTATGCCTAATATTTTTGTACTATCACTAATACTGTTACTACTTAACAACTTTGACATGTCACTGTGCTAATATGGTATAGCGAATTGAACTGATGCATATGTAAATGCTACATTTTATGTTGCGCATGACTGAGTGACTGCCTGGAATCGACTCAAGTTGAAAATTCAGATCACTAGATTCCTACTCAGTAATTTAAAAATAATGTGCTCGTTCCACGACCTGTTTGTTCTAGACTCGAGCCTACATAGGTTTGTGAGTGTACAACACTAAACAGTTTTAAACTAGAACGGAAAGGGTATTTGGGGCTTTACATTGTTTTAGTTGACATCAGTGTATGGTGAATGCTAATCGCAAATATAAAACTGAGAAAAATCATTAAAGATAACAATCCAATGAAAAAATTTTGCTTACGTCATAATCTTCATACTTCGATTCATTTGCATTATATCCAGAACTAAGGACATTTACTGACGTTGTTGTTTTGCGATGACGATCATCAAAATTACTTACATCTGGTCTAGCAAGTGATATCGGTTTGGATAAAACACTAGATAGTGTACTGCCAACTGGCTTATGTTTTGAAATATTATGACCGTCATCTTTTTTTTGCGGTGTAACATTCTCATTACCATAGGATTTATTGTTACTAGCCGGTTGGTTGGGTTTTTTATCTTGAATTTCTACTTCAGGTGCATAATTGGTATATTCATTCAAATCGCCGACATCAGATCTGGATTTCTAAAAACAAAACAATAAACAAAGAGAATGTTTAGAGGTGATACAAACCGAAATGAACTAAATACTTATTTACGTTTGAATTACATTTCCGCGGTACCTATTTTGTCTGGTGTATAGTTACCGGAAAAATGGTGGTACTTAAATAAAGATGATTAGTTAGTCAGTCATAATCAACATATAGCCTGGAATGAATGTTTTTTAGCTAAAGTTACCACACCACATAACTACGAAGAGATGTAACTAACAGTAAAACAGTATAAACAGAAATAGTATTGATGACATTTAGGAAGTGACAAAAGGCTGAAGAGTTAGGCTTGACAGTCAAGTTTTAATTAATTGGAGTGACCCATAAACTAATATTCTTTAATCGTTTACGACAGTTTATTATGTTATGAATTGCGTCAATTTTTCGTAAAAGCACATCATTTTAATACATAAAAGCCCTAGTCTTCCGGCTAATGGACCTGTCTTTGATTACAAACTCAGATGCTTACATGAATAATCCCGTACTGTGAGTAGTCATCACTCGGCAACATCGTAAAGTTGAATCTTATCAACCGATCAACATTCTTTAATTCCATTTGAACAACAGAAACTTAATTCCTAAGATCACAAAACCATCCTTCACAACGGGAAAATTGAACGCTGCAAAAAACATTTTGATAATAAGGAGCGATATTATGCGCCCGGTTAATACCCTCTCATTAAAATGTAGACAAGCATGAATGATAAGTGAATTCTGATCTGTTTGTACCTAGATAATACATAAATAGTGAACCCTACACTTACTTTAGGAGGATGCAAGTCTACTGGTTCAGGCATTTGATTCAAAGCTTGCTTACGTCTTCCACGTTCTACCTGAAATCTGTTACAAATAAACATTTAAAATTACTGGAGTAGCATTTGGAGTCGTGACTTTTGGTTTGGTTTCTGTATCCGCAGCCTCATTTTCAAAGGAAATATCTCCAAGACCAGCATCCTATGACAATGAGACATAAATAAATCTAGATACCTGAAAAGCCCGGGTTTTTAGCTTTTGTTTTATCTGGTTAATGGTCTTTGTTTCGATAGCTTCAGCTACCTTTGACAGATCAGATCCGAAACGTCCAATAGCAGCTTTAAGATCTTCAACTTCCTTTTGAGACCATTTCCCGCAGGTCTTGGAATCCCCATCATTTTGCTGCGCTTGGAACTGTTTAAGATCTAAAGTAAGTTGAGCCAATCGGCCGAACGCCACTGATGCTTGCTCAAAAATTTCGGCTACTCTCGAAAAGTTAGCCATTACCCAAAAAGTGATGGGAGGTTTAGGAAGCAAAAACTTTTACTGAAACAGTAGGTATAAAGTATTTCAGAAGTAAGAACTTTAGTATGTAGAGTAGGCGCAGGAATTTGAATGAAGTAGTGCTGAATTTTAGTTAGTCACCGTCCGTACTCTCCCATTGAAATTTATTGCAGGACGCTGAAAAAAGAAAATGGAAAGCCAAACTACTTCGATAACCTGTTCAATCAGTTCGAGGCTATAGGTTAGTATCAATGGAATAGGCACTATTCACCGTTACACAAGAATAAACGATGCATAGTCCGATAACTATTAGGTAGCAAATTATTTTCACCGACTTAAAATAGGAATGCTACTTATGATATAAACGTGGATGTAGTGATTGAAATGCATTAAGTTCACATCCTATAACCAAGTAATCGTAAAAATAGCAAAATAAACATAATAGACAAGTAAACGAAGCCCTAGGTGTTAAAGCGGCGTATCTCATGAGATTGACCATCATGTAGTATTACAAACTAAGTCATGAAACCAATGTGATTTTAGTACAAAAATTAAGGCCTAAAACAAGCCCCCGAATTCGAGAGGGGGGATTTCGAGGTTTACTTCAGTCATATATGAAAATCCGTAGTTCCCGCTAGACCAAGGAAATTTTTGGTTCTTCTTTGCAATTTCCCAAGATTTGAAGATTGAAACATATGAGCCTCTGTTAGATAAACAACTTAGTACGGAAACAAGCAGTTAACTGCTTGTAATTACCAAAATTGTATCATTAATCTTAATAAACGCGATTGTTTATTATATCAGAATCTGTAAACATGTGACCTATTATCTTCATATTACGACTTACATGTGCTTGGGGCAACGATCCAGTGATATCGTCTACTGATTAAGGTTACTAAGTCCTTGAAGTTCAAACTGGGCACAATAAATAGTCAGATCCGCCCGCCGTTTCGTTTCGACGACCTTGAACGGCTTGACAAGAGCAGGTCATTCCAGTCTTCAGTAATAAGGATAGGAGGTCTATCGACCTGTATTAATCCTTGCAGTTTGTAATACTCTGGAGGTCCAATCTCGTCTTGGATATATAAACAGAAGGTGCTGATATTACGTGTTCTGTTAGAGAATTCCAATAATTCACTACTCAATGAGAGAAACGAAACTCTAGACATAAACGATTTGATCTCGGTTTTTGAATTTTTTGAGTGTCCTCTCAAACGATCAGTCCTAGACGGAAGTAAAAGATAGGACATGTTAATACCAAGGTCATCATTCAGTATACGATAAGCCAATATTAGATCACCCCGTATTCGACGGTAAGATAACGGAAATAAGTTGAGGTGTCTCAATCTGTCCTCATAAGATAGTCCAGATAGACCTTGTACCATCTTAGTACCTCGTTGTTGGACTCGCTCTAGCATGTCTGCTTCATACTTGAAACAAGGACTCGCTGCTCGAATTCCATTGTGGAGATAGGTCTGTCAAACTTATTTCGTAAATAATTTTTAATATTATTTGTATTCATTTTGTCAATCTTTCACTGTGTGTACATTTATTATTAAATCATTGTACCTGTTGTTTTAGTAAATGACCTTAATCACTTTTTCCGTTGTGATACTAACATAGCGTGACACTTTCTGTGATTGTCCCAAATACACTACTACACACATGCCTCTCGTTCTAAATTCACTTGCATTTGTGTTAACTGAAGTCTAAAGCAAGTACCATTTATCTTTACAGACGATAATTGGAATATACCATATTTATTACTTAATCATATCATTGGGGAACCCATCACACTCGCAGGAATTATTAATCATCTATAATTGTGGATATTTAACACCAGATCAAATTGGAACACGCGCTCTCCTGGTAAAATAAGTAACGTTCCTTATTTCTATTGTGTTTATGACATTTAACTTATATATCTTTAAATATTGCTATTTGTTATAAATAACTATTATTACCTTTTTGGATTAATATATTATCTGGTCCACCACAATTATTTGGTGAGCCTAGAGTGTATTTTAGTTTTATTGTTTATATTTCTACTTGAAACATTAGTTTTTTTCATATCATGAACTCTCCAAATAAACTTATCGATATGGAGTGTCCCCCAATGAAACCCCTCGACTTATTACATACAGAAAATAATATTTTAAGTTCAGTGAATGCCATTACTGAGTTAAGATTACCACATAATGTGAGACAAATCCTTAGCGTCTCAGGGCGAACTGTCGCTCTCGAGGATTTAGTCGACATGGCGGACAAGATGATGGAGATCTACCCCGACAGGCACTGTCTAAACGAGATACAAACCTCTGGTAATGGAGATACGAACACAACACTTAACATTCAGCAACAATTAACACAGTTAACAACTCAGTTAGCGTCATTACAGGCTACTATTGCGAGTATTCATTCTCGACCTAATAGATCCCTTTCTAGAAAAAGAGCAGAGTCAAGACATCGTTCAAGGTCTCCCAAGAAGACAGTAGGTATTTGTTGGTATCACCAAAAATATGGCACCAAAGCACGGCGTTGCACAAGACCGTGCACATTTTCCGCGGCTGACTCAGAGAATCAGGCAAACGAACTGGCCAGACAGTAGTGGCGGCGACTGTTTCTGGCCACACAACGAGCCGTCTATTTCATGTCAGGGACCGAATTTCGGGCTCAGATTTTTTGGTCGATACAGGGGCCGAAATCAGCATTATCCCATTGCACCTCTCTAAACGACGGCACTCTCCAAGCAACAAATTATCCCTAGTTGCGGCCAATAACACAACCATTAAAACTTATGGAGATCAATCACTTATCCTAGACCTCGGTCTCCGCAGACGTTTCACGTGGGTTTTCATTGTAGCTGAAATTAAGCAACCCATTCTCGGAGCCGACTTCCTAAGTTCCTACAAATTATTAGTAGATATGAACAACAAGAGGTTGATTGACCGATGCACACGTTTACAAGTAAATGGTACGCTTGCTACTGACTATGAGATTTACGGTGTTCATATAGTAAAACCGGAAAACAAACTTTTCACCGACATTCTGAAGGAATACGAATGTATCACAAAAGTAAATTATCAGACGGAACCCACAGCACACCACGTACAGCATCATATCATCACTACGGGACCACCCATTAGTGCTAAAGCAAGGAGACTTCCACCACACAAGTTACAGATTGCTAAAAGAGAATTTGAACATATGATGCAACTCGGAATAATTAGACAATCAAACAGTCCTTGGGCTTCGCCGCTGCACATGGTTCCAAAGAAGGACCAAGATTGGCGACCATGCGGAGACTACCGAAGATTAAATAATCAAACTATCCCGGATAGGTACCCCATACCACATATACACGACTTCTCCTTAAATCTACATGGTAAACAATTTTTTTCGAAACTTGACTTAGTAAAAGCCTATCATCAAATTCCAATGGCACCCGAAGACATTGAAAAAACAGCAGTAATCACACCTTTTGGTCTGTTTGAGTTTTTGAGGATGCCATTCGGGCTAAAAAACGCCGCACAAACGTTTCAGAGGTTTATGGACCAAGTTACGCAAGGATTAGACTTTGTATTCGTCTATATCGACGATGTTTTAATCGCTAGTTCATCACTCGAAGAGCATATCCAACACTTACAGATCCTCTTCGAACGTTTCAAAAAACACGGTGTTGTTATTAATCCTGCTAAATGTATATTCGGTGTTCCAGCCTTAGAGTTTTTAGGACACTACATCAACTCTCAAGGCATAAAACCACTTCCAGAGAAAGTTGAGACCATCATTAGCTACCCAGAACCAACCTCTGTAAAATCACTACGACGTTTTCTGGGGACATGCAATTTCTATCGCCGATTCCTACCGAATTGCGCTGAAGTACTGCAACCGTTAACTGATTTACTGAAAAGCGATAAAGCAGGCAACGAGAAAATAAAGAACGAAATATTCGAATTACCTCCTGATGCCAAAGCAGCATTTGAAAAAGCTAAATCTATGATAGCCGATGCCACCATGTTACAACATCTAAACACCGACCCCACAACGCATCTCATCCTCTGCACCGACGCCTCCCAAAAAGCAGTAGGAGCAGTATTACAGCAGCGCGTGAACAACAACATTACTCCTATAGCGTTCTTTTCCAAACGATTATCGCCAACCCAAGAACGTTATAGCACTTTTGGACGTGAACTTTTAGCTATGTATCTAGCCGTCAAACATTTCAACTTCCTGCTACAGGGTCGTGATTTCACTGTTATGACTGATCACAAACCCCTTTGCTACTCCTTTAGCACTTCGTATGATAAGCATTCTCCTCGGGAAGCCAGACAACTGGATTATATTTCTCAATTTACTACAGACATCCAGTTTATCAAAGGCTCTTCCAACATTGTCGCTGATGCTCTATCTAGAAAGGACATTAACACGATAGTACACAACGACATCAGTCTCGAAACTTTAGCTAAACTCCAAGTAGACGATGCAGAATTAAAAGCCTGCCAAGAGAAGCCTAACTTGAATCTTAAACCAATACCCACGCCTTTCTCAGATACAACTATCATTTGCGACACTGCAACCGGTAAAAATCGCCCCTTCGTGCCACAACCTTATCGCCGAAAAATATTTCAACAGCTACATGGACTTTCACATCCAGGAATCCGAGCCACAACTAAATTGATTACTGAACGTTTCGTGTGGCCAAAGATTAACTCAGATATAAAACGATGGACTCGAAGCTGCCTACAATGTCAACGCAGCAAAATTCAAAAACACACAGTCAGTCCTGTTGGGAAGTTCCCTTTGCCGGAGAAGCGTTTCCAACACATCCATCTAGATATAGTCGGTCCCTTGCCGCCATCAAAATCATTCACACATATACTCACCGCAGTGGACAGATTTACAAGATGGGCTATAGCATGTCCCATCGCCGACACTTCTGCAGAGACAGTAGCCGCTACATTCCTTGACCGATGGATATCAAACTATGGAGTACCATCTATCATCACTACAGATCGTGGTCCCCAGTTCCAGTCTATCTTATTTCAGGAATTCACAAGACTTCTGGGTGTGAACCACATTAAAACGACAGCTTATCATCCAGTGGCTAATGGTCTGATCGAAAGATTTCACCGCCAATTGAAAAGCGCACTGATGGCACAAACTGATACAACAAAATGGAGTGACGCACTACCACTTGTACTCCTGGGGATTCGTTCGACCATCAAGGAGGATTTAGGATGCACTTCAGCTGAACTAGTTTACGGTACTACATTAACATTACCGGGTCAGTTGGTCGATCAAGAATCAATAATGTCAAATGATCCAAATGGTTTCGCAAGCCGACTATTACAAACGATGCAACGCATTAAAGCGATACCTCCGCGTGAACATAACAACCGCATACAACTTGATAAACATCTAGAGGCCTGTAAATTCGTTTTTGTTCGAGTCGACGCAGTGAGAAAACCATTGAAACAACCGTACGAAGGACCTTACAAAGTAATTAAACGAACAAACAAACATTTCATCATCAATAAAAATGGAAGGAATGAGACAATTTCCATAGACCGAATAAAACCGGCTTTCTACGAAATTCTTCAAGACGCGGAAGACAATACTACGAACGAATCACCACTCCCATCTATCGCTAAGAAACAAGAGGAAAAACAAAAACTTAACAGTACCCCCTCTTGTTTAACACGTTCTGGGAGACTTGTAAAAAAACCGAAACGTTATGTACATTTCGCCGTATAAAAAAAAAATTACAACCAATCAAAACAAACAATCATCAAGGACCCACAATATCAATCCTACTCAATGTTTTTTTTTTCCCTTTTTCACAGTGTACATAATTAATCATTTTTTTTCCACAATTATTCGTTTCGTCACATTTTTTTTTAATAAATATATATAAAAATTTTTTCTTTTTGTTACAATAATAAACGAGTAATT